TCGTATCTGAAGAAGAAGAAGAAGAAGAAGAAGAAACAAGGAGGAAGGAAGAGGAAGGAGGAAGGAGGAGGAAGGAGGAGGGAGAGAGGGAGACTGACAAAGAAGAAGACGTCACCTCCCTTGCTGCCTCACCTGCAGGTGCTAACACCTAACTGATGTCATCGTGTGCAGGTCGCGCGTGCACGGGGAGTCCCAGCTATGGCGCCAGGTAAGTCCCCTTCGTCGCAGGTATGGCCTCCGCCCCTCTGCCTTCTGGTGCTCAGCCTCCAACTCAGTAGCACAGCGCTAAACAGCGCAGCGCTCAACCAGCAGAGTGTCGCTCAAGAAGTGAGCTACTCGAACTGTCCATTACCCGGCCTCAGGCCAGCTATATGTAGCCCTGGGCTTAGCTGGGCACGCCTCTGAGGCTGGCCTAAAACGGCCCACCAGGTCTGGGCCCCTACCGGTATCCAGACCGTGCTGCTGATGCAGCGAGGCGCCAAAATGTGCCTGGCCTGAAAACGGCCTCGCCAGTAGTGTACCCAGCCCAAGGCCATGCCTTGGGGACTGCAAGTCCGAAGCGACGTCTGAACAGACAAAATAGGACAGCACATACAAATAATTTGAAATAAATAAATAAATGAGTGCTGCTCAGGCTATACCTGTGGCCCGCCATGGGCCTCCAGAGCGTGTGCTGGATGGCATGCGGCCTGGGGCCCCTCAGCAACCGCTGGGCCCCGCAAATGGGGCCCGTGTGCAGGCTCAGCATGTAACATTATAGCTGTATTTGAGGCATCTTACAGTCTAGATACATCTTTAATGACCATACGTTGTATTCGGGGGAAGAAGGTAGTGTGAGAATGCCCTGAGTGGCAGTCAGTGCGTATTTTTGTGTATTCGCTGACCATTCACTGCGAGATGGAACCTTCCTAAAGACGCACGTGGCCTGTGGTGACCCGTGCTTTTGTTGCAAAACTTGCCTTTCCCACCAAGGACGAAGTCCCACTAGCAAAGAGGATTTGAGTTAACTCCTGTATGTGGACGTGTTTGTGGCAAGGTGCAGAAAAACGTGATTGACCTGCTTTTCTGCATTTCTGCTAGTGGGACCTCACCCCAGGTTCAGTCCCAAAAGGAGGTCCGGGTCCATCGGGACATCCGTTAAAATTGGAACGATACAGAGAGAGGTCTTTTTTTTTTTTAACCACCACTACCTCCGATCCTGTTTTTGCCGAGCCTGAACTTTACTGCGCACCAAGTTTTGCCGAGCCTGGGCAGTTGCATCTGCGAAAGAACATAAAAACGAAAAAAGAAAAAGAAGGAAAAAAAAAAGAACTTCCCTAACGCCGCTATATCCATCAGATGCATTCCACGAGGTGCCAGTGTGACTGCGCCCTCAGTGACGGTGTGTGTCCGCAGAACAAGAAACAAAGAAGAAGAAAAAAAAAAGCATCCTTTATGCGGTGATTGCGGTCAGATACAGGAAACTACAGTACCTGAGGCAGTTAGCTGCCTGCCGTGGAATCCGCCCTGCCTCACTGGCAGCGCATGTAAGGAAACGAAAACAACAAAAACAAAAACGAAAACATCAGCAATCAATTTTCCACACGTGCTGGCCATATACATTCCTCAAAGCACTGGCATGACTTCCACGTCCGTGAGGGCCTTCCCCAATGTCGCTGGATTCGAATTCTTTAGTTTTCTCCTTTTTTCCCTTTTTTTTCTTTGTTTTCAGAAAAGGCTGTCGTGCCTGCCCTGAGGCATCAGACTCTGACGAGTAGGCTACTAGATGGACTTCGCGTTTGCCTGTGAAAGGTAGTGGTTGTGAGGATTGAGCCCTCAAGAAGGGGCCTTGCCATGATGTACATGTTCTGGCCTAAAGCCCCAGCAAGCCTCGTGCCCGCCCTAAGTGAAGGCGGGCCAGCAAATCAACAAGATCCCTCTGTGCAAACATTTCACGAAGTGGGGTCCATACA